TTGCCAACCCAATAAAAAATTTCACAACCTGTGTCACTGATGGCCACCGTCACGGTCAACCTGTCAACTTCCATGATGGTAAACAATAACCATGTTTTATATCACTCCAAACCATAAACGTTAGCTGGTAAATCTGCCTAATTTCGTTTTTTAGCTTCTATCATATAAACAATTTTGTCAATACTTTTACGAATTACCTTTAATACCGCTATAAACTGTAAACTGCTGGAATTCTTGGCAAACGAAGCAGAGGTTACGACGGCGGTAAATCTGACGAGTAGAGTCGGCCACGGGGTTTCTGGTGAGGCATATAGAGAACGTGTGAAAGTGCAGCGAAAACGATGCGCACACGTCCCGCATAGCTGGCCACTCGTTAGCATTCCACTAAATCGCTAATCGTTTCAGGACTTTGTCCCGTGCCTCCTCCACCGCCACCACCACCTCCAGTGCCTGGTCAGGTGCCGGCCATGAGGATCAACACCATCGAGGTAAGTGGAAGATCGTATTCAGTCGGCGTTTATCGCTCGTTGCGAGCGATCCTCGCGGGTTTTAGTGGCATGACGTAGGAAGCTTTAACTGACCCAAACGAAAGGAAGGACAAGAAGGAAAATATTATGTGCGTTGATTGGACCAATTGTTCAACTTCAAGTGTAATATTTTATTTGTGAATCGTTCGTAATATTGTTTGAAAAAGAATTCTTCTTAGTGTCAGAGTGTTTCTCCTTCTGCTTGTGTTTCAGTTTATTCAGTTGGGTAACTAAGAATGGTGAGTGTTCAGATGAAAGGATTTCTTGGGTCAAGTTGAACCGTATAGCCTGAAGAAAACGAGGGCATATACATATACATATATATATGAGGATTTATGGAAAGAATGCGAGGTCGCGATGAAAGGGTAGATTTAAGATAAAAGATGTTTCACGAGGAATTATAGTTGGTCCAAAATTAAAGAGATCTCAAGGCTGTTGTATCTTCTCTTTGTTCCACGTGTATTCTCTTTCAGTGTTTGTTTTCCACATGTACAGTTCTTTGTTCCAGTATATTTAAAAATAATTTAAGCACGTAACAAAAAGAAAAGACGAAGAAGAATAGCCTTGTATGAAGTATAATATCTTCGACTCTGTAATTGACAAATTTGATATCTTCAAAATCAACTTAATATACTATTCTCACTATATTCGTATTTTTGAAGGTGAAAAATTGGAAAAATTTGCCAAACGCGAGGCTTCTATTTTAATGTCACGTAATGCGACTGTGTAATTAACATTTAACGATCACAAAGATGCTAAGGGAGACGTTGAATCGTAGGCACCGGTGACAAGAAGGCCGCAGATGGCTAACAACGATGTTTACGAACCACCAGCGGCTATTCAGAACGCAATGCTGACCAAGGATAAGAAACCATTCACGTATACACCGGGAATGGGTGGAAAATTGGACCTTTCTCAAATTCGAAGCCCACGAATGGCACGCAGAGTAGCGAAGAATGCGAACGACGAGGGAATCGAGGGTCCGCCAAAATCGGCGCTTGAACCGAAGCCGACACCAGCACAAAACACCGGGGCTAATCTGTTTGTTCAACCTCAAGTGGCGATCCCTGTCTTTCCGACCAATGTTCCGGTTCAACCGTCTGTCAATAGAACGCCATCTACACCTCCTGCCAATAAGATTCAACCTGCTAGTAAGTATACTTGATGGTAAAAATGTGAGAGCGTAGTTGAGAAAATGATGAAGAAAAAGTAGAACTTTTAGAAAACAAGTTAAATACTTTCAGATATAATAATAATTATAATGATAGTCGCTAAACACTTGACCTCGAACAGAATACTGATGATGTTGTCTCTACTCAGTCATGTAGATTGGATGAAAGCAATTTATTAAAAAAAAATCTCTCCAAATCCACTTATGTCCACCTGGTAAACATTTCTTAATAGATATTTTAGAGACTGTGCATATGAATTGTGAAGTCTAAATTTCCTCAGAATTTTAAATCTATTTGCAAGAAGTCAAGTCTTCTTCTATGATGTTTCAGAACTTTCTAATAATTAAAACTCATAAATACAGTGGCTTGCGAAAGTATTCGAATGCTTACATATACAAACTTGAATGGCCGAAATAATGTACATTAAAGCAATTTGCTTAGACAAGCAGATGTCAATAGGAAGAAGGAAGTCTTATGATTATGTCAGTAAAATTTGAGAAGGATTCAACAACATAGGTAGAAATTGATATATTTATTAGAAACACGCATGGCATAGAAACATGACTGGCTAATAAAAGTATTTGAACGCTACATATGTTATTAAATTATTTAATATTAATATTTTGTTGGACTACCTTTAGCAGCAGTAGTATGTCTCAATCGACGTTCCATACTGTAAACCAATGATTTTGTAAAACTACACTCAACGGAGTTCCATATTTCTATAATTTTATCTTTCAATACTTGCTTTGAGATTATTTGTAGTATATAGGATTTTTTTTAATTCGCGAATGATAACTTTCTCCTCTTTTCCAGTCAATTTCTTTAGTCGACCTGGTCGAGCTTTGTTTTCAAGTGTTTTCAAGTGCACCAATATTTTCATTTAGCAATGATGTTTACATTCGTTGCTAAAGAAGATGAACAGTTATCAACAGTGTTACAGCGTTTGAATAATTTTCTGGGACACTCAGCATGAATGTTTCTAATAAAAATATCATAATTCCTGTCTGTATTATTGAATCGTTTTCAAATTTTACTGATGTAATTTTGGCACTTTCCCGTCGCTATAGATACCAAATTGTCTTAACAAATTAGTTTAGTACAGCTCGTTTTATTAATTGAAATTTGTAAGTGTAAGCGTTCGGATACTTCCGTAAGCCACTGCATGACTCGCTATACTAACTGTCCTAGAGAGCACGTTCGTCTACATGTATCGACCGATGGTAAAAAGTTCGAACTGCGGTTTATGGTTACAAATAATGGCGGTAATGTTTTGTCCGGAGTTCGTTTACCTTTGAACCTAGCAATCCAAAACAACGTTGGTATTCCAAGGCACAGCAACATGTGTCTCTCTCGATTCAAATCTTCCGTTGATTTTTGTACCGCTATACCATTATCATCGAGCAAAAATCTAAAGTAACCGGACAACGGAAAAAATTGAATGCCATAATTTTGTCATTTCAGCTCCAGAGAAGCAACCAGAATCACCGAAACACGTGACCAAAGCAGAGACCAAAGTAACGCCGACGATCGCAGTTCAGCCGAACACACCCGAGAGTCCGAGCACTCCGACTCAAGTGACTTTGACAAAGGCGCCAACTCCGTGGCTGCAGAATAAGAACAAGCCACAGGAAGAATTACCAGAGTGGGCAAAACGTTCGAGCGTGAACAAACAGCAGAGCACGTCATCGTCTTCGCCGGATAGTCCAACGTCACCACCGGTTTACGCGCCTTCGATTCAGCAAACACAGCAACAATCACCACAATGGCAACAAACTCAACAAAGACAGCAATCGATTCAACAGAGGCCGCAGTCTCAGCCGCTTCAACCAACACAACAGAGACCATCGCAAATTCAGCAACCGCAACAATACCAATACCAGCAGCCTCAGCAATTCAATCAGCAACAGAAACGTCCGTTCTCTAGTCCTTCTGCAACGCAACAGATTCATCCAACGCAGACGCAAGAACGCATGATACCAATTCGCGTAAGTGTTTATTATCATGCGAGGCAGATGTTCGAAAGTAGTTTCACGATCTTGCTGACTACTGTAACTCACGTCAATCCATTTGTTTGATAAATTCAACGATCGGTGGATCAGATCTTTAGTTGGACTGTGCTATTTCTTGGTGGTTAAAGATTTAACGTTTCAGTTACCTACAAAACTATTTCTGTTATTTTATTTAAGAAATGCAAGTAAAAGAGTTGTTAGAATAGAAAAATAGAATAGAAGAACACGCAGTAACAAAAAGGCAGCTCCAATATTTAAGTTCAGTTTATTGGAAGAAAAAGAGAGGCGTAGGTTTCATATTCGAAAATACAAAAATTTATTATTATGAATATTAGTTGAATATTTATTTCACACATTTTCAAGAGGATTCGATTTTCAATTGGTTTTTGTTGGTTTATTCGAATTATCAGAAAGTGGAGCTGCATTCTTGTTGCAACAGACCTTTCAACCCTCGAATTGCTTAAAACTTTGAGTTTAAAGAATAATTAGAGAAGAAAGAATTGTAAAATGAAGTATGGAAATCATAGTATATTAACATACAATAATCATTTGTGTCCAGATTGAGGATAGGCCGTCTGTGTTCGACGTAAAACCAGAGCCTGGTCACCATCAATTCAAGCAAGCGAGTCCACATCATCAGCAGCGCTGGGGACAACCGACTCAGAATCAGGTTCAGAATCAGGTTCAGAATCAGGTTCAGAACCAGGTGCAGAATCAAGTTCAGAGTCAAGTTCAGAATCAAGTTCAGAATCAGATCCAGAATCAGGTGCCTCAACAATCGACAGGTGGCGCGTACATTATACCAATTATGATCGAGGGAAGTGATAAGAAGCCTGCTGGTGTAGCTACTTCGAATAGCTCGTACTCGCAACCGATTCTTAGGAATAACGCGTCTAATGCTGAGAATCAGAATCAGAAAGTGTAAGCTTATTTTCAGAAATGTGACAATTATCTTATAAGTAGACTTGTAAGTAGAAGAAATATTATAAAGATTGAATAATATTGTAAGAATTTATAAAAATTCATAATCTAGTAAGAAGCTAATATAAATTTATATCTTAGTCAAAATATAAATTTGAATTAATTGATGTGTTATTGCTATTAGGATGGCGCAACGTATTATACCTGTGCAAGTTCAGCAATCGGATTCTGGTCCAGTTCAATCTCGATCGTTCAGAGTTCTTCAGAAGATCACAGACACGGATTCAACGAACGACGTGGACACTGAACAGATGCGTAAACTTCAATTGTCAGAGGACGATAGGATTCTGATGAATAAATTCAAGGAACAAAGTAAAGATCGTATTTTACCAGAATGATGTGGTTTTTTATCGTTTGATTATTCTGTTATTACTACGTGTTCTTCTTTCTATAGTCGACAATGAATCTTCTCTTCATCACGAGGAAGATCCGAGATATCGTGGTGGTGCTATACCCTCTCGAGCTTTCCGCTTCCTACAAACTATGACGGAGTCCGGTGATGCTCCTGCTGTGAACACGAGTAAGTTTTTTACGTTTCAATCGATTGACAGGCTCAGAGAGAAAGTGGTACAAATAGTTAAAACATGACTTTGAAAATTGTAGATAAAATGAAATGTCAGTAGAAAATTCTGTATCTTTCTAAACATTAAATTTATTACTATAACGTTATGGAAGCTTGGAAATTTCTAACAAAATTCTATAGATAAATATCAATTTTATATATATATCGTTTCATATGTGTTCATCTTGTTTTTAAAAAACGTATACTTCTACCACTTTTCCATGGAATCCATCGACCATAAAGGTACAACTCTGTATTATTAGTATTTGTAAAATACATATCGTGTGCACGTAACGAATGTACTGATAGTACAACAAAATTCTACTTATAAAAGAATCTACTTATAAAATTATAAAATAAAATCGTACGTTGCAGCGTCACGGCCACCATCCGCCATAAACAAGAAGCAGAACAGGAATTCAAAGACGTTTGGTAAGTAAACTTGTTAGTCATTTTTCTCTGATTAGCTCTCCATTACATTGAAGCAAGATTAGCTTCTCATTAATCCTAAAAGATGTATATGATAAATATAATATTTGCAGAAGAAACGCAAGCGAACTTACCACCAAGCGAGCAACAGGTTCCAGAGCCAAAGAAATACATGGGCAGCGCGATTCCCTCCAGATCGTTCAGGATATTACAAGCGATGACAGCGCCGGAGAGCGTCGGTGAGTGTCGATCGGCGAACATTTATCGTCGAGACCAACAAGCGTAAAAAATCTGTCATCCTTCTGAATGAAAAGAAGAAGAAAGGAAACGCGTACAACATGTTCATAATTCATGCAGGAACACGCTACTCGTCCATGATGAATTAATAATCGCAACAAGCTTCTATTGACCCTTGTACATTAATGTTCAATGACAAGCGTCTTTACTATTCTAATGGATGATTAAAACTTGAAGTAACGATTGCGTGCCGTCGCTGGAACATTCCCGAATCCTGTGTTCACAGGAATAACGAAAATTCCTTGGTATCGTTCAGCTCGATTAAGCCCTCACCCCGTTCCATTCAAATTTCGTTCAAATAATTTCTTTTCTCTCCCGACAAACTCGTTGCAACAGAAGTTACATTAGAAAAATTGTCACGCAATGCCCATTCTGGACGTTCCTGTGTATTTTAACGATTGACACACCGATCATCGAGCAACGATCAATATAACGAACTTTTCTTTCGCCGAATAAAAACTTATGATTGCTGTTGAGATGGTCTTTTAAAACACCAGTCACTCGATATGTCGTACATATACAAGTGCATGGTAGGTGAATTATTCGTCTATTTCCATCGATCGAGTAGTATCGTGGTAAACTATGTTGCTTGTAAAATCGTTCGATCATCGTCGTAACAAACGTGTCGATTCGTCAACGTTGACATAGCCGTTCCTCGTTTAGAAATGAATACACGAGAAAGTATGGCAAGCTACGATATATGGATTTTGGGTAATTTAACCGGGAATGTTGCATGTTCTTATTAATTGATTTCACACGTGTTTAATCATCGCTGGGATTTTAATACGATTGCAAGTGATCGATTTGCATGTAAAACCGTACTACGATTATTTTGGACACTTACGATCCATCTGTCCAGAATATCGTACGAGCATGTTCTTCCTACTCGAACGTAATGATCGCTTGTGTCCCGTCGAAGATCATCGACGAGCTGGTTTTGCGTTCACAATTTTCGATCGTTTCCTTTGAACACAGGATCACACGTCTCGTTTTTTTTCTCTCTCTCTCTCTTTCTCTCTCTCTCTCATTCTTTCGTAGCCGTCCGCGATTACACTCGTTGCTTATCCTCGTGGCATCTCGCTTGTCCGTCGATTTTTCACAGCCAACGGAGGATCGTTCATGGTAGACATTTATTTCGTTTTCTGTAATATTGGCTTGGCAACTAAGTGATTGCGGATTTTGTCATTAGACGCTATCGGCAAAGTCCGCAACCACTTAGTTGCCAAGTCAATATTTCAACATAATAGAGTGGAACATTTTTGCCTAGAAGAAATAAAAATTCCTGAATATCCCATGAATACTGACGTTAGTGAAATTTAAATACACACAGATGTTCTTTAAAAACAATTGTTCTGCTAGTAAAAGATATTCTTCTTATATTCTATGTATATTCTTTTTGGTAAATAATAGTACAAGTTGTGTACATACTGCGCGCAAGACACTGCTTCTTTGATAATTAGTTCACCAAACATTTTGTGCATTCAAAGAACTGTATTTCTTATCTAATCTTTTATCTTTTGGAATTTTCCTGTAGCCTTTAGTTGGGTAAGGTTTTTTCAGCCACCAAGTCATTTCTTATCAGAATTAACAATATTTCATATCTATAATAACGAGATTGTGAATTTGAAATGAGTCTCAAGCTTAAACAGAACATGAAATGAATGTCTATCGCTCGTTCTTCCATCGCCTAATATGAAAAAGAAAGAATATCGCGTGTAATATAAGAGAAAGGGAAGTGTGCGGGTGAAAAGAAGGGGATAAAAGCAGAGAAGCAAAAATAGAAAAGGGAGAAACGCAAGACCACATCACACCCCAATAGGAACAGTTGAACTTCTTGTCTGAATGCATTGTGCTGTTTGTTGTAGCCACGCAAGAAAATCGTCAAGCAGATTACCACTGCCAAACAGAGAATAACGTGCCGGGCAATCAGCAGGGTGTCTTCCTCTCTCCCTGTCCTCCTCCATTTTGGACCCCCGACAGTGGTTGGTGGGGTTACTACCCTCTTCCATATCCTGGTGTCGCGAACGAATCTTACCCTTATCATCCTGATAACACTGCCTACGTATACTTTCCTATTTACAATCAAAATTACCCACTTTATTCACCTTATCCACAGTATGATCCGATGAATAATAAAAACGCATATTCTGGTGTTTACCCACCTTACATCGTCCCAGTTGCTCCACAGAATAATAACAATTGCAATAACAATTGTGAACAAGTCTGTGGCGATGTGATAGTAGCAAAAATTCACTCAACGAATATTACAGATATTGCAGATATTGCAGAGAATATTCAGGAAAATAATGGAGGAAATAAAGCACTGGAAAGTAAAATTGCCAGGGAGAACGATGATAGTACAAATGGTGTTCTGCAATGGGAGAAGGTGAACAGCGTGTCACGAACTGCCAGCAACAATAGCAAAGACAGTGACTGTACTACTGCGATGAATATCACCGATGAAGAGGAGATTCCTGGTGAGATAATCGTGTCAGAAGTAGACGAGGATAACAAGAATTCTAACAGACCAGAGACGAAATCTTGCCCCAATGGAAGTCTCAATGTCAACGTTCCAAACTATACCTACATCGACACGAGTGACTCCAGCGACTCCACCGACACGGAATCGCAATCTGACAACGAGTCCATCATCGAATCGTCTAAAGGTAGCAGTGATTCTGATGATTCTTCTTCCGATAGCGACGACTCTGATTCTTATTTAGCGTACTCTACGGGACTGAATGCTCATGGCAGGTTAGAAAATGACGATGAGAGGAATCCGACTAAAAATAGCTCGAGCAAAGAATCTTGCAACGAGGACGAAAATTCTGAATCATCCTGTAAGAACAATGTCGATTCTGGAGCAGATGTTGAGCAACAAGTGGAGGACAACGTGGAGAAAACGCAGACCAGCACGTTTCCTCATCAACTGAGCGTGATTTACGAGGACGTCGAGCGTCCAGATTCCGAGAGTCCTAGAGCTCGAGGGCCTAGAAGTGTGAAAGACTGGAACGAGACGCCTCTCGAAGCCATTGACGACCCTCCTGATGATACTGACGCGCCAACAGTCAGCGTGAGTCTGCCATTGAGATTTAAATTTTCTGTATCTGAAAATAACGAAGATGTGACCACAGTGATCGTTGGAGACAGCACCATCAAGCCTGAGAGAGGTTATAGCAAGGAAGAAAGCAGAAAGTCGAAGGTCCAAGACAGTAGAAGTCAGATGGAGAAGGCTAATGAGGTTTCCGCGGATTTTGTAGTGAAGAATGACACTACTGTGGATTTTGTAGTTAAAAAGAAGAGCTTCGACAGCAAACAAAAGGACAGGGATCATTCTAATGAAAGGACCAAGGAGGAAACGACGGAAAGTAAGGTGAAAGAGGACGAAGATCCTGTAGTACCCCATGTGAATTTTACTTTGAGGAAGATTCCTACTAGGTTTGGTAAAATCAATTGCGAAGAGACTGTGGAGACAGAGTTCACGATTAGGAGAAAGACGAGCGTGAAAAAGGAAGAGGATAGGACGAACAAGGGTCAAGAAGAACGCGCTAATATGAAGAGTAACGATGATTCTGTGACCAGAGAGAATAAAGAAAATAATTGCACTCACGTTGCGACAGCGAAGGACATTGGTTCAGAGACGCGTGACTTCAACAGAAACATCCTGAAACCTGAAGTGATCGTCTCTGAGTTTAACTTGGCAGAGGATTCTTCGCAACACAACAAGGAGTCTTCTGACAAGTTACAAAGTACAGATTCGAAGATGAAACGAGTGGATAAGTCTGAAGGAAACAGTGACCTGTTAAAAAAAGGCAAAGACGAGGTAGGTATTGAAGAGAAAAGAAACAAAGAGTCGAAGCACCTGTTGAGCGTGCAGAATTCCCGAGAAGAGACAGACGACGAAGACAGTGGCGTCACTTCGGACATGAGTCGCATGATCTCCGAAGTGGATACAGATTCGGAATGCACCTCGTTGAAAAACATGAGAAAGTATCAGAGGACTCAGACTCACTCGAGATTGTTCAGGCTTCTAAACGACGACTCGATCCTCCTAGAAGATACAGAGAAAACCAATGAATCTTCTTCGACTGAAGAATACCTTAACCTACCTCTGAAGAGCAACGCCTTCAATTACGACGAGAATTATTGTTCCAATTACTCTAGCGGCGTGACATCTCCAGAATATTCGCCAATTTGCGAACAATCGTGGAAGAGACTTCACGACGCGGACAATTCCAGGTTACCGGACCAAAATGGCGACGTGTTTCGTCAAGGTCGACAAGATCGAATTTCCTGCAAGGAAGACCCGTACTATCAAGCTTGGAAAACTCCCAAACCTCCGGCACCATCGGTGGATCACGACGTGGTGCCATCGTTGGCTTTCAAGGTCCTGGAAAGTAGAAGGCCATTATGGTCGTACAAGGTGAACGTGCTTTGTCCACGGATTAAAAGTACGAAAAGCGTGCCACAGACGTTGCGAACGAACAAACAGACCAACTCGATGGTGTCATCCTGTCCAAATTCCTCGCCCTTCCAAGCTAACCTAAAAAGTGACCATTGCTGATGGCCCGGGGCAGAATGAGGCCGCGTTTGGCCGCGAGCAACCGGTCCACGGACGAGCCTCGCGCAACTTTTCTCTAGATTCGCAAGACTGGGCTGACTATGCCCGGGGGGCTACAGGCTACGTGGTTTTTTTTTCTATCGGTACATATCGTTTGCATATATTTATCTATTCGCATTTTCTTCCTGATTTTTTTTGTATATTTTGTTTATTTTATTTTATTATTTTTTTTTTTTGTTTATATTCTCTTCTATCGTTCTAGTGTTTTTTTCTACTTTTTTTTTGTCTTTGTTTCTTCTTCTTTTTCTATTCTACTCGTGTGTTTCGTTTGTTGTCGAACGGGCACCGATCTTCTACACGGGTGTAATTGTTTTTATTTATTAATTTTTTTATTTGTTTATTTCCTTGTCAATTTTCTTCACTTCGCGAACGAATCGATCCTGTCAGCCGTGATTCGGAGTTTTCTTTTTATTTATTTTTCTCTTTGTTTGCTCTTTGCTGAGATTTGTCACTAACCAGCCGCCTCTGGTCCAAACGATGCGATTCTAGTTTGTCTTCTCTCCTGGATCAATATTAACGCTTCGTATGTCTTGTTTTTATCGTATTTCTGTTATCCTTTTGCAAGCCAGTTGGCAGCACCTTCGCACTGCTCCGTCTTCTTCGTTCTTTTTTACCATCGGTGGGTATCGATGATCTATAAAGAACGAGACCAGCGATAAATCATTATCTACAAAGATGTTCTCGCGGTATTTTTGCATAGCGAAAACGTTAAGATAAACAAACAAAATTCATTGTCAGTGTTTCATTTCAGAGTGCAAAAGAACGATTGCCAAAAGGAAGACGATGTGATTTATTACGTTCGTAATCTTTGCAGAGTGTGATTTCACGCAGGATTGCCTCTTGATTCGACCCACAACTGCATTATGTTGCGAATAAAAATATTTCATGCATGCTTGATTGTGTAATCGACCGTATCCTGTGAATAACGCGAATCGTTTTCCTGTTTTAATAATCCTGAACGGGGTGTCCTGAAGTAGAATGTTCTAAAACAGCGTTTTTTGTGATTTTTTTAGAAGGGAATGGAAGAAATGAAATTATTGAATTTTGAGGTATGTTTTTTATATATATTTAACGAATACAAAATAATTTTTTTTTAAGTAAAAAAATAAATTGTAACAGATTTCTAAGCCTATTTCAGGGGCTGCATTTTTCAATCGGCGTGAAAAATCCACTTCGTAATTCTTGACTGAAACGAAAAACCAAAAAAGGATTAAATTATTATACATTTTTCTTCTAGGTGAACTAAATGAAGGCAGAAAAAAGCTTATTTAAATAATTGTTATAGCACCTTAAAGTTTATATCTCTTTTTTAAAAACACATTTTTTTTTAAATCCACCAAAATTTTTAATTTCACATTTTTTTCTGTCGTCGTTTAGTTCACCCAGAAGAAAAATATATAATAATTTAATCCTTTTTTGGTTTTTTGTTTCAATCAAGAATTACGAGGCAGATCTTTCACGGCGATTGAAAACTGCAGCCCCTGAAACAGGCTTAGAAATCTGTTACAATTTATTTTTTTTACTTAAAAAAAAATTATTTTGTATTCGTTAAATATATATAAAAAACATACCTCAAAATTCAATAATTTCATTTCTTCCATTCCCTTCTAAAAAAATCACAAAAAACGCTGTTTCACAAAAAACGCTGCTGTAGAACACTCTAATTCAGGACAGCCCCTGAATACGCACGCCATGCATGCACGATGCATTTGTTCTGTTGTATATTGTGCCACGAGTTCGAAGCGCGACGATTATATCGCGATTTATCGGATCGATACGATTGTTTGGATTTATCAAATCCAGAGGCAGAAAGAGTCGTAAGTAAATTAACGCCTCGATGATCGATAATAATCGATCGATCGTTAATAGAGCTACTTACTGAAATAATCCATGCTTTGAACAAATAATAATTAGTGTCATTCGTTGCTTTTGATTAGCATTTTACCGTAATCACAACTATTGCTATTGTCATTTTACTATATTGCTGAAATTGTAACTATTACAGTCTGTTAAATCGTAACTGGTTACTCAACATTTTCCCAATTTTCCCCACTTTATGGTTAATAGTTTCTAGTAAACCAAAAGTAGACGACTGTTTTTCAATCGTATCTTGAGTAGCCAACAAATTTTGAACGAATTATAAACTATAATAAGAATCAATTATTTCATGGAATTCAACGACGCTGAATCCTTTCTACATAAAAAATAATTAGAACAATTATTGGAAAAAAATAATTATTCTCTA